GGATATGACTTGACTGGGTTCTTTGCTTCTCTTTTCCCGCGTCTTGTCTTCTGACCTACTCACATGGTAGCATTCAGTTGAAGTGAATATTTAACCACTCGTATGATTGCTGTATTTTTGGAAAATTACATATAACTATCATCAAATTTAGGAAAAAATTTTGTGTCGACACTCGTGGACATGTGCCATTTTGCAGAATCAAACAATTTCATTTTCTTTTGAAATCTCTCCGTCACGGGATGATCCAACGACTTCCTGCTTCTCATCAGTATGGGCCAACTTCTTCACCGACGCCTCCACCATACGTGCCACGTCGTGTTGCTGAACCACCAACACCGAAGACACAACACCATGTCTTGACGAGGCCAAGACGTCCCCTATAGGCCCCAGCTCGGCGTGCTCCGCTTGCCGGTCCGCCAGTCCCGCCACCATCCTCGACGGAAACCTCCCCTTTCCCACAACTATGAGATCATAAGCCCGACTCTGCCCCAGCCGCAACACGTCCTCCACAATGTTGTTAGCTGCCTTCTCTGTATACTCCGGCCTCTCATCCCCCTTGTTCCTAAACCCCGCCACCGCAGCCTCATCAAGCTCCTAATTACAAGATTTCACATTTAATTATTTTATTTTCAAAAAAAAAATCATCAAGAATTTATTTTACGAAATAGAGAAATTAAGAATTATGAAAAACTGTGAATTATAAAACTTGGATTTTTAGTATTTCTCTGTCCCTATTTTAAAATAGTCCAGTCAAAATTACAAAATGGGAAAAGTAAGAATTACTAATACCTTTTCTTTTTCTCTGTCAATTTCGGCGGTGGAGAAACTGTAATTCTTTTCGATGCGCGTGCTTCGTGACGGCCGTAAAGCGACGCCCTTACTCGCCGAACCCTCTTTCTCGACGAATCTCACTAGGGTGACTTTAACGAAGGGATGTTCTGCCATTCTGCCACCTAACTCCAGCGCCTCACGATCATCAGGCCCACCGAAGAAAACTATACAAACCCTTTGCGCCGCGGAGGCATCGGGTCCAGGAGAATTGGGTCCGTTGCCAAATCCACGGTCAACGAGTACTGCCACCGAGCACGGTGCTTTCTTCAGCACCCTCTGATTGACCCCTCTCCATACGGGGCCCATGTTCTTCGTGGTTTCCGCCGTCCATTGTTTGTGGAAAGGTAAGATGATCATCGTTACCCTCTTTTCCTCCGCTGCGTGGCATATATCCACATCCATGGTGGACAACGGTGAGACTGTTGTGATGGGCCGGACTGCGACTCGGCCCAATTGACCGTAGGCGTGGAAGGCCCCAGTAACTCTCTCATGCCACTCGCCACGGCGGAAACGATTGCGAAAGGGAAGCCCATTTTTAAGGGTCCGTTGGGCCATGATGATGGAAGAAGAGCGTTCAGTGAACTCAACCAGGTGCATGATAAAGAGCTTAAGAAAGGAGTTCTTGGTGCTTCTAATAGACTCAATAAGACTGATAATTGAGGGCACATTTCCGAGTTCATGGAGGCAAGCAAGAATCCGGAGCTCGTTCTTGGACTCTTCAGTGTTGGCCAGGTCGCCCAATTTCCGACGAGGATGCATGGAGACACCACGGGCTGGCTTATAGATGGCCATGACTGTTGGGGTGGTCATGAAGGTTGTGAAGAGTGCCATGAGGACTAATATGGCGAACATCTCATCATTAAGCACCTGTTAAAAAATTATGAATGTTAGGTTAATTTATAAGTTTTTAAACACTATATGAAAGAAAGGAGTGTCCCTTTTTTTTTTTTTTTTTTTTAAGTATGTCCACTAATGAGTTTATAATAAAAATTTATTTTTCTATTCTTAAACTCTTTTTTATTAATTTCAAGATTCAAACGTAAGACATTTAATATTAAAATTTAAACTTTTAACCATTAGATCATCTTTTATAGAAAGGAAGAAAGAAAGTATTTAAATCAAACTAAAACATCACCAAACTCTCGATCATAGGACAACCTTAGTTTACTTTTCTCATTGTGGTTACTTTGGGACCAACTAGCCTACTAAAGAAAAATCTCGATGGCAGGAAAAGAGAAATAACAGCCGAGGTGACCCATATGTTTGTGTTGTTTTACTCAAAGGTGCAATAATGCAAGAGGAACGTACCTAGAGTTTTTCATCGGTGGCGGAACCATGTCGGCCTAATGGTAGGGCCTGTGCCCTACCATGGGCCAAAAGTTTTTAGTAAAATAATGAGGTTTAACTGTCTAGGCCCTAGGCAAAAAAAATAAAACATGTTTATCGATTTTTAAAGAAGTAGAAAGAAGAGTGGCATCGAACTAAAATTAAGTTAATTAATGAGAGATCAGAGTGGGTTTATTGCTAGTTCTAGGCCTACTCTTTATATTTATTTGACAATTATACCCTTTTAATTTTAACAACTGACCTTTTTACACTTCACTTCTTTTTATTGAGTTCAAGCCCCTTTACTTCACTTCATGATTAAATAATATAGTTAAGTTCAAATTATATAACATAATGAATATCCAATGATTATATAATATCATAAAATAGCAAAGTCAATTATTAAAATAATACAATAAATATTCTACTTTTATAATTTAGATAACTTTTTTTCTTAAACATCAAAAATGTAAAATTTTTACTTGCAATTATAGATAAAAACTTTGTAATTTTGAATTGTATCAATATTATTTCAGTTCAATAAAATAATT